AATGTCCAAGTTTGTGGCAGTTGTAACACTCGATTGTTTCTTTGTTGAATGAGCGTCCTCTGCCCCTGCCTCGACCTCTGTATGATCCTCTGCCTCTGCCTCTGACATTGAGAGCTTGATCATCTTCTTCATGACTGATCTTCTTAAATTTCTTTTCATGTACGGACAGAGAGCTCTGAAGTTCGTCAATCGTCATCTTTTCTATGTCTTTTGACTCCTCAATGGACACCACCACATATGTGAACTTGTTAGTCAAAGTCCGAAGTATTTTCTCAACAATCTTCGAATCTAACATGTCTTCTCCATTGCTTCTCATCTTGTTGGAGACAGACATTACTCTTCCAAAGTAATCATCAATGCTCTCTTCATTCTTCATTGCAAGAAGCTCAAAATCTCTTCTTAGGGTTTGAAGAAGGGACCGCTTCACCCTTTCGTTGCCTCCAAACTTTCTCTTCATCGAATCCCAAATGATCTTGGATGTTCTGCGATCCAAGATCTGTTCAAACACAACCCGGTCAATTGCCTGGAACAGGTAGTGCTTCACTTGACAGTCCTTCATCTTGAGATCCTCTAGAGTCTTCTTTTGCGCTGTAGTCGATTCGGTTCCCTCCGCCGGTTCGGTGTAACCCTCTTGCACTAGACTCCACACACCCTTGGCACGCAAGAGGTTTTCCATCAGTTCACTCCAATGATCATAGTGACCATCAAACTGTGGAATCTTGGTGACTGTTTTGTCGTCGCTCATCTTCCCTCTCTTGGATCACTTTGCTTTGCTTTGGCTCTGATGCCAATTGTTAACTGTAAGTGAATTGCAAATGCACCAGAAAATGATCACTTTATTCATAGGTTCCAATGCCTTTTTATAAGGAATACATAAAAACTGTAAATAACTGCAAATCCTAAAATAAAGGACATGACTCAACTAGCTCCACTAACTCCACTAATAGCAAGAAAATAGCAAAACAGAAAATTGACCTACTCTAGCCTAAATAATAGGTATTTATTGGAAAAACTAAAAACTTACACAACAGGTCATCGTCTGAGAGGATGAGAGAAGGAAAAATTGGAGGATTTATTGCAAAGAGAGATAAATTTTTGGTGAAAAATAAAGTTAACTCTTTGATTGTTAACTGGAAAAGAAGATAGAAAAAGAAAGAAATATGCATAATCATTAAGATGGAGATACACATGAAAATTGATAAAAGAATATATCATACCAAACATATTTTCTTTTATTTATTTTTTTAAATTCTTTTTTAAAATTGATATACAAAATGATCTTTAAAAATAAAAAACTAAAACTCAATCTAACAAACCTTAACTCTTTCTAAAAAATAATAACCTATGAAAGACACAAAGTATATATAATCACCAATTGAGGCAATTTGCATAGGCCACAAACATCTAAATCTATAATATCTAATTTACACTTTGATTTTCTTTCCGACTTTAACTAAACACAATCTTCACACACCTCAGTAGGAATAAAAATTAGTGGAAGACCATCTTCACACACCTTGCTAGAAATAAGAATTTATGGCATACCAAACACCATCCATTGCCTCTTTAATTCATACAAATCCCTAAAATTCAAGTGTACTACTATATGTTCAAATCTTTGATTGAAACTTCTAAAAATATTTTCAACAAAGGTTTCATATGTGAAAGATCCAATACACTTGTTTATATTATTTGTTTGAATGACCACTTTGTGAAATACTCTGCAACATTCTCCTTTTTCATGTTTAGGACTTTGTATTGGCTCATAAGTATTTGGAGTTTCATTTTATTCAATTTTTAAGCACCTCTAAACACCTTGTTTAGATTTTTCCAAACTTTCTTGGTCGAGGTGGCCTCAGAAACATTCCCATTGATAACACTTTGTATTCCTTTTTATTTTACTCCTTTCACACCACCCTATGTGAATCTATTGGAGTTTTAGCTATCGATTGAAAGCCAATGAGTTCATTACTTCCAACACAAGAAATCCAATTAACACCTTTTTCTTTTCAATACATCTATTGTGTTATTTCCATCCTATAGAATTGAAAAACACCTAAAAAAAATTGTTCGCACATGTTAATACGGTTCCACAAATTTTTTTCTATGATTTAACCTTTTTCAAGATACCAATTGTTGGAATATAAGAAACAATCATTCTAATAATGTTTTAGAAATATCGGACATGGATTTTTCATTGATATGATCAATAATGTATTTCCTAATGATTCTAAAAGAATGATGAGAAATCGTTTACAATAATCTCTAATAATATTTTTTATATATTTACATGATCTAATACACCCCCGTAGTCAAAATTAGAGGTGAACGAATGTTAGGTTATTCCTAAAATCATCAAAGAGTTGCAGTGGAAATTTCTTTGTGAACATATTAACAATTTAATATCGGATGGAATGTGCTTTACTCGCACTTAGTTGAGAGCAACTTTTTCATATACAAAGTGTATATCCATTTCAATGTGCTTGGTGTGTTGATATTGGACTAGATTGTTGGAGAAGTGCATTGCACTCACGTTGTCAGAATAGATTAAAGTAGTTTTTATAACAATACAACGTAGTTCTAAAAATATATTATTTTGAATCCATCCAAATTTAGACATGATATTAAGTACTCCTTGATATTCTGCCTTTGTGCTCGATTGAGACAAGGTATGTTGACGTTTTGTGAAACAAGAGATCCAATTATCACCAAGATACACACAATAACCAGAGATAGTCCTTCTTGTGTCTAGATATCCATTCCAATCAACGTCTCTATAATATATGAGTCTGTCGATGGATGAGGGGTATACATGAGTTCAAACTCAACAATATCGTGAATATATTGAATCATATTTTTAAAGGCATACATGTTTTGTGTTTTTGGATCATGAATGAGAGACACATTTGTTGAACTGTATATGCTATATATGGTCATGTAAATATTGTTAAGTATAACAAGTGTGAGTAGTATGGAAAATAGTCCTAAATTGGCTAGGAATGAGGAGACTTAAACATTTATAAGTGGTATAACCCACACACCTACCACCTTAAAGTTTTTGGTGAATATGTGGTGTGTCTCTCACAAAAAGTGTTCCTCTAAAAAGGAAAAACTCCTCCAACAGTGGTATCAAAGAGTCTGGTTCGAGTGAAGGACTAACTTACTTGTATCAAAAGTATCCTCACATGTGGTGGGTTAAGTGTCTCGTTGAAAAGTGTCGGTGGAAGTACAAGTGTATGTGGATGAAGCTTCCACTTAAAGGAGAGCATTGTGGAAGCATTGTGGATAGACTCACACTTAAGGGGGAGTGTTAAGTATAACAAGTGTGAGTAGTATGGGTAATAGTCCCACATTGGTTAGGAATGTGGAGATTTGAGCATTTATAAGTAGGAGAACTCACACACCTATCGCCTTAAGGTTTTTGGTGAATATGTGGTGTGTCTCTCACAAAGGCGTTGCTCAAAGAAGGAAGTCTCACAATGTTCAATGCTCCCTAGTGAGAAAAAAAACTCCTCCAACAAATATCAAGTATTGTAATGCGCCTACAAGACCGGTGTCGCGTTGGGAAAAATCATAGAGTTGCCACCATATTTTACTCATTCCTAAGGCATAGCGGAAATAATGATAAAACCCTAAAGTAAAGGATAAGACGATCGTCGCAAGCAAATATGAGTTTGAGAGTCGGTTGTGTCTCGATGTCGTCGTATTACAGTGGATATACGACACCATCTCCAACGACCTCCTTAACACCATCATAGAACATGACTCCACCATGGAACTCGCCTACAATAGGTTGACTGATATCTTCTATCACAACAAAAATTTAGGACTCTACCTAGAAAAGAGTTTTTGCATACACATATAAAACAATTTCCTGATCCATCGTCCTACTGTCAACACCTAAAATCCCTATCTGATTAACTCTATAATGTTAGAGCTCATGTTTCCAACGAGCGTTTGATTCTTCAACTCATTTCAAGACTAACTAATGCATATGCCACAGTGGGCTCGCAAAATCGTCACAACGACTCTCTTTCACCATTTTACATGGGGCATTCCATGATTATTTTAGAGGAAACAAGAGCGGATTATCCCATCTCATGGTGATCCATCTTAGAGGACCAAATAGTAGCCGCAGTGGTGATGGTCGATCTCAGCATCAGCAGTGGACTTCGAACTTCGAATAGCAACAATGAACTTATTTTAAGAAATATAAATAGTGTCATTTCCATTTATACGATCAATACTATATCTACATCAAACGTATCTCCTAACGATTCATACCTAATAATGGGCAATTATTTTCGATAAACTTTAATAATATTCATTCTATATTTAGATAATCTAATAAATAACAAGAGAGAATTTAAATCAACAGCTAAATTATGGAATTGATATGGAAGGACATACAAAAACACTTTAAGCCAAAGGCTTATTTAAAATGTCATACCAAGTCCCACATCAGCTAAAGTCTCTATCTCAGCAGAAAATCTTTTATTCATCTATCTACAAAGTGAATTAACAAACTTTTAATTGGATTAACAATCTATTAACTAATTTAAATTAACCTAAATTGATACTATTATTGTGCAAACATGTAGCTCTTTCTTTGTATAGTTGAGTTTAACCCTACCTAAAGAATAGCTTTATTCCAAAATGAATAACTTAAAAAGTGACAAGCTATAATTAGTTACAATTTCATTAACTCATTACTTAATCACTATAGATTTTAACTATAATGAAGTAGAATATTCCAAGATCAGTGGATTATATAGTGAGGAAACAAATCATAGCATAGATAAATGCCATGATTACTACATGAATTGCATTCTTCACAATTTGCTATTTTAAACTCTGTACTTAACTTTAACTTAATTTAGAAAGAGTTAAACCACTAGATTTGAGGTTCTCTTGAGTCTTGACATGCAAGAAACTAACAAAAAAAAGTAAGAAAAGAAACATCAGCAGAAAATGAACCAACAACTAGAACTACTTTTTGTTTAAGAAACTGAATGCCTTCTATTTCTTGATGGTGTAGATTTAACTTCTTCAGGATTGGCAGAACCAATGCTCTCAGATGAATCCGAACCACTATTTTCGCCATGTCCTCCTTTGCTTGCCCATAGCTTAATGAAAGACTTCTTTGACTTCAACAAACCTTTCATCTTCCCAATAACAGCCTTATCCATGCTTGGTTTAGCGTCTCCGTCTTTGTAACCGTTTCCAACTCCGTTGCTTAGTCTCAATGACGCGAGTTCCTTTCTTAACGCCTTTAGTTCCTCGGCTGTTGCCACTGCGTCCGTGTCATCTTCGGGATTAGTTGTTCCGGACCTTGAGCTACCGTTGGATCCAATGCTCAGGTCTTTGATTCCTTTAGTTGTTATGTCGGGAGTACTAGTGCCTGATGAAGCGGCAGTTCTAACCTGCTCGAAATATAGTACCTGCACGACGACACGCATTGGTAGCCTCTCGTTTTGCACTGCATGCAAGCATGCATCAACCGATAGCTTTCTGCAATCCATCAGCTTGCATATTCGCTTCTTTTCGCCTTTGTTGATCCCAGGGTGCTCCTGCATTAGTTTTCGAAGTATTTTTTAGTGTAAAAGCTAAAATATTAATCTATAATATGCAGAGAATTTTCAAGAACAGTTAGTTAGTTACCTTCAAATATGTGTCAATAGCCCTGTAAAGACCGTCATGAGCCGGTCGAGCAATGCCAGAAACTAACTCGGCAAGATTAATGAAATCCGACAGTGGTAAATTGGGATCCTTTGCGATTTCGGCGAGGTATCCATCTATGAGTTTCGCAACCATCAGCATAGAAGCATCTGATAAAATTCCTGACTTTCTTATCCCTTCAAGTTCACCGCCTCCAACAGATTCAATCTCGGAATTATAATCTTTCATCAAAAACTCCCTTACAATTTTCTGTACTATACCGACATCGTACATTGTAGTCTCTCCATCCGGTGCTCGGATCAAAATATCATTTGCCGAAGCCTCCTCCAGCTGCTGACCAACTCTCTTCACTAGCTCTTCTTTAATCCTATCTTCTGATTCTACAAAAATGGCAGCTTTCAAAAGTTTCACTAGGAACCGGCACGAAACACTTCCTTTTTCGGCAGGCAACAATTTCACAATAGTTTCAACAATTAATCGATGCTTCGAGACATCCCCGCACGGGATCATACCCTTGCTGAAATTTGGCAACTTTCTGTAAGCATAAGCTTTCAAGGCTTCACCGATTACATCATTAGATTGAATTTCCTTGGTTTTGATATTTGTTATCACAGATTTAAACATGTCAACTTCAAGCTCGCATAAATCTTCAACCCACCAGTCTTTTGGCACGTTTCGAGTTCTGACTCCAGTCTGGTTTGACTCAACTCCATTTTCCTCCAGAAGCTTTTTTCGGTTATACGTGTAAGACCAGTCAACTTTGGATACATCAACACACGCTTTATTTGCTATAGATTCAATGCACCGATTGACGACCTTTTGCCCCTCATCCAAGGGTAACATAGACTTTGTACTCTGAAGAAGGATGATTGAATCCTTCCAACTACGAAAAATGCTAGACGTAAGGAAAACATCGATTTTGTAAAGAAGGTTTCCTTTCTCGATGGTTTCGTGCATTCCAAGATACTCAGCTGCGCATCTAGTAGCAATCACATTGTAAGCATTGAGGGTAACAGTCATGCCATAGCAAAACTTAGCACATATCTCAAACGCACTTGCACCGCCAGGAATATCAGAAATTTGAATTTCATCTACGTTTTCTTCATTACCGAGGGAAATCAACTTCTGTAAGTGAGAACTCTTCGATATGAGAGGATACTGCACATAAAACAATTTAGAATGTCATTACTTCGCACTAATTGCTATAAATCTTCGAGACTTCTAGAAATCATTTGAGGCCAACTACGAAATATAGTCGGAAATTAGACACGGTTGATGGATTTAAGCATACCTTGTGCAAGTGAAACTTCATATCGTCTATCCTAACAACGATATCTGATGCCAATTCACTCGCCACAAACCTGCACATAAAAACGCATCTTTCTTAGGGAAATATCCTGAAAAAATTGAGTACATAAAAAAAACACAGGCAGAATGCAAGTATTGTGGCTAAGTCAAGAAATCAAGAACGACCGAGAATAAAATACACAACTGTTCTTAAAGAGACTGCATTGTCTTACCGAACATTGTTATTCCCATCGGTCTGAAAGGTATCTGTCTTCGAACCAAGCTTCATAAACTTCATCGTCGCAATACAAGATCTACTTTCCTCTCACAAGATAATGCCTCAATAAACTAGTTTCACCTCCACGCAATCCTTGATTGAAGGCAACACCAGCTAAGACTGAAGTTTATCCAAGTTTAATGGCTTTGAGAGAGAAAAGAAAAGTTTCTAAGGGATGAAGGTTAAATACCGAAGAGTATGATCAATCGAATCTTGACAGCAAACAAGGCAGAGAGAGAGAGAGAGAGAGATAAATGGTCTAGATTAGGAATATCTAATTGTTTAAGCAAAGGTTCTCTTAAATGGTAAGAGACTCTAAAAAGAGATTGTTTCCTTGGCCGACGGCAAATGCCACGGAGTCCGGGCGCACCGAGTCAGCTCAGGGAACATAGCCAACAGAGATGTAACAAACACTAAACAATTCTAAAACCAGAGACACAAATCTGACTCCACCTCACTTTTTTTATTTCTTTATCCTTCACTTTCTGATTACACTGTTTCTTTGTTTTTTTTTAAAAGATTCATACCATACCACCACTAACACCTCTAAAAGCTCCAACTTCCAAATCCAACATGTGTATATCTATCTATATATCTATATATTAATGCTTTTCTTTTTCATTTTTTTCTTTACCGTTGAAGTTTGAAAACCTGCAACCGAAAACAGCATCTTGGTATCAGAATCAAAAACCACCAAAACTGTAGACAACAAGAATCTTTTGCCAAGTATGGAATAAATTGCTGAACAATCATACATCAACAAGTTGCAATATTAAAACAAAAACCCAAACTGAAAATCTTAAGAATCCACCAGAATATGTAACCAACAAAAATCTACTAAAATAATGTTAGACAAGATCACAACATTGTAAACTCTTTGTTGTTAATCCTCTCAACCACACAAGTAGAAAAAATATATATATTCTTTAGATCAACTAGCAAATCAAAATGACAACTACCAAACTTCACTCTCCATGTAAACCCCAACACCACCCAAGACTCAATTTTTTTTCATTCTCATCATATAATAAACAATTTCAAACATAACCCATTTGAGTATACGCAAAACCCATCAATATACACATACCCTTTTCAAGTTTAGAGCTTAAAAAAAACACATTCACCAAGTTGGAGAGGTAAGAAAAGAATGGTAAACCAAGATCTTACACATAGACCAAGTTGGAGTTAACTAGAAAATGGAGAACAGTGTTATGATAAAAGTAATAAAGTTTTAAACTTTGAGGTAAACCAGAACAAGGGTCAAGAAAAACAGAAGAATCCAAAACAAACAAAAATACAAAACAGTTAAGAGATGTTTTATGAGACACACAACATTGAACATTACCTTGTTTTGAAACATTTTCCTAATTGATTTAGGTGAATAATTTTTTGATGAGAAAGTATGTAGTACAATATTCAATTTCTGGTAGTGAGAAGAAACAAGAAACCAAAGACACATTCAACCACGTTGTTAAGTGATGCACGCTAAAACTGACATTTGAGGTTGCTTTTTGAAAACAGAATTAAATGGTGGTAATTAATGGTTTGGTTGGTTCAGTTGAGATCAAAATAAAAGCGGTAGAATAGATTATAGATTATAGATTATAGAATAGACTAGAGTATAGTAGTGTGCTGTGTGTTGTTGCAGGCAAAGCTATATTTCCAAGTGCGTCCATCTCTATGGCATTTTCAATTTCATCATCACTTAAGTCTTTTTCATAAGTGGACAGTTGGCAAAAAGTGATTTTTGCTTTGTATATCCACAAAATCACAACTAACTAAATTAGGATCATTTCTTTTCTTTTCAAGTATCTACATGTCTAGAGTTAACTCAATCCATGTGTGAAAAAAAGTGCTTTTTTATGAAAAAATTACTCATATTAGTAATAAAAATAAATAAATGACAAAATTATTTCATTTACTTCATGAGTTCTACATTAAGTTACTCGTTTTGAATAAAATAATATTTTAAAATAAATAATTCATTTTAATTTTGAATATACTTTTTTTTTTAATTTTATCTTTTAATTAATATTATTTTCAATATTTCTAATATATGATAAAATTATTTTAATAAAAATATCATTTTTTTCTCTTTTATTATTTCATTTTTTAAAACGGTGTAAAATGGTGGGACGGAGGAATTATAATTTATAAACATGTGTTTGATTCACCATGAAAAATCTGTATATATATTTTTAATTAAAAGTGACTAAATATAAAATAATTTATTATTAGATATCATGCAAAATGAATGAAAAATAAATTTTAATTTAAATAAAATTAGTTCAATCAACATTTTTTTTAGTTAAGTAGTTTAGTGATTGGAAAAATAATTAATTTTATGATAAGTTTTAGGCTTAATTAGTCCTGGAGCTCTCTAACATAATTTAAGTTTTTATTTTAATCTTTTATTTAATAAATGTTACACTTTATTTCTTAGAAAAAATTTTGTTAGTCATTTTAGTCTTTTCTATTAACTTTTAATTTTAAATGTTTTATGTGAGATATTATTGTTGAGTGTCCACCATAGATTTTACTATTTTTTTAATTTTAATCATTTAATCTTTTTGAAGAATTTTACACATTTAAATCTTGAGAGTTTATTAATGTTTATAGTGCATCATCAACAACTAATTCTTTTTAGGTATTTTCACCTTCTTCTTCCTTCTTCTTAATCTTCTTCATCACTATATTCATTAAAATCTCATAAATTTTCAGAATTTTTTTCATCAGATCTTGATAATATGTGAATAACCAACAAATTGTACATCTATCTTCCACAAAATTAAAATCACAAAAAATAAAATTAAACAAAACTCCATAAAATTCAAGATAACCCAATAAACAAAAGTGAAACTAAAATTATCCATTAAATAAAAAAAAGTAAAACTAATATTAACAATTAAAAAATAATAAAAATCATAAATTGATTAAATTAATTAATAGGATAGTTTTTTATGGACTAAAATGTAACATTTATTAGACAATAAACCTAAGTGAAATCATAAATTAAATTAAAAGACTAAAAGATAAATTAAATCTAAATTTTAACATGTTTAAATTAAATTTGTAACACCAAAATTACTTTTACCTTTGTAAAAGTAAAACCAAAAATATACTAAATTGGGTAAATTTCAATGTATTGTTAGGGTGAAGGTGTTTTACAAATAGGTGAAATATACTCTCAAGAGTTAATAAGATTTTCACGCCTATAAATATATTATTTTTTGTTCTCTTTTTAAAAAATATTTCATTACATAATAAATATTCAAATGTTTTTAATAAATAAATTTAATTTTTACTGTTACGATATGTTAAACTTGATGGAGTAAAAAAATAGAAAGATAATATATTAATAATAATTAAAGACTTATTTTAATAAAAATAGTATATTGATAAATATATTATTTTTCTTTTTCATCTCACAATACAACTTTTACTACTTAAGATCAAATTTCATGATAAAAAGTATTTGAGAAATTTTTGTAAGGAAATAATTAACATTAAACTAGGGGCACTTGTCATGATGGTTTTACTATTGGGTTCATCCTTAATATTATTGTACATATAAACTTCAATAAATAAAGTTTATATACGAATAGAATAAACATAATAGAAGGTAAATAGATACTCAATACTCTTTTTATATATTAAAATTAATTTTATTATAAATTACATTTATTAATTTAGTCGATATAATATTGTTATATATAAATTTTTGAATTCTCTAAAGATTCAGTATTTTGTTGTTAAAAAATCAAAAGTGAAAAAGATAAATGATATAAATTTATTTTGATTATGACGTTCTCATATTTGACCATTTCATTTAAAATGATTTTGAGGGTTGTCTGTCCCATTATAAAACCTTCAGTCCTTAGTTCCACCAGTGAAGAAACTCCCGTCAAATCTACACATGCATATTTCCTTTCTACCACTCGAACACCAAAACACCTATTGGCCTAAGTGTCAATATTTTTTCATGTGGGTCATTCAAGAAATTTACAGATTTCTCTATCTTCACAAATAATTTGGTTCGCCAAAATATATCTAATAAGACTTCCCTAACAATGAATCTTGTGTTATCCAAATGTATTTGAAGCTTATAAGCTCCCTACAATGAGTCATGTGTTCTCTAAATGTATCCAAACACATTTTGCAACAAATAAGATAAACCTCATAAATAGAAAATTAAGAAATCATAAAGAGGTATCTCAAGATAGTACGGTACTCCACGGTGACATATATTGACCTAGCTCATCGATAGGAATAATAAGAAAAAAGTTTTGAGCATGTGGGACTTGCAAACAACCAAAAGTTATTTGCTATCTTGTCGTCGTATCAAACTTTACATTAAACATGGCAACAAAACTCGTACCTACTGATACCCGCCGAACTCACCTCGAGTTTGACGGGGAAACCTGGTTTTACTGGGTTTAAATATGAGTTTGATATTTCCCCAATTTTAAAAGATGGGTACGGAGCGAGGAACGGGGACGCTAGTACTAACTCTGAACCTGACTTCGAACCACCTCGTTGATAATTTGAAGTATCTGGTTTTGATAATTTATAATATTAATTGTCTAATTAGTATAGTGATATTTTGGTTTGTACTTTATTATTTGCAATATTTGAAATGTATATTAGAACAGGCTTAATGCATCCTTTGGTCCTTTAACTTAATTTAGAAGTTCACTTTTGTCCTTTATTTAATAAATGTTCGTTCTAAGTCCCTTAAATATCATTATGTTAGTCCACATTAATTTTATTTATTAAATTTTGTCAAATTTTGTTAAGTTGTGTATGTGTGGCAGTCAACCTGGTTCTACATTAGATGACATAAAGTTTTTTTTATTTTATATTAATTTAAATTTTAAATTTTAAATATAAAACAAACTGAAACGTATAATATATGAAGGAATTTATTCTCTCTTCCTTAAACCCTAGTCACCACCTCTCTGCCTTTTTAAAACTTAATTTTGTTGACTTTTTCAACAGTCATCTCAATCTGCTCAAGTTTG